GTGCCTGGCCCCACTCTGTCTTTTATATAGGGAACTCCTAATAACCCATTATTTTCCCCAGATTGTTGAATTCTTTTCTTCCCTGGCTTCTTGCCCTCAACTTTCTGACATTTATCATTTGCCTCTCCTGTATGAGACCCTTGGCTGGAGGTTTCCTAGTGCCTTACTTCTTACACAATCCATTCCCACAAAGCATTTCTGATTTAGAAATGAGGAAACAGGTTCAGAGAGGTAGCAGGACACAGCTTGCCTGATGACACGCAGCTGGAAATGATGGAGTTGGGATTTGAACTGGGATCTTTCTGGCTCACTCATTCACTCATGCATTCAGCAGATTGGGCCCACTATCTAAGACCAGGGGAAACAGCACTGAACCAAAGGAATCCCTTGTCATCAGGGACTTAACATTCTAGTGGGGTGGGGAGGGAGAGAGGGTAAACAGACAGATGGATAAATGTAGTGAAACCAGCAACTTGTATGGGATTTTATATCTCCAGTGAGGTGGAGGGCTGGGGAATGGGAAAGAGACTGGGGATGGGGGTGTGTGTTTGTGTTTCTGTTAAGCTGATCTGGGGAGGCCTCTCTGAGGAGCAGACATTGAACAGGACCTTATGCAGTAAAGATAGAGGGTCAAGGGGTCCAGGCAAGAATAGCTGGTGTGGTGACCCAGAGAAGGGACTGAGGGGTAGTCAGAGCCATATGCCTAGAGCCTGGTGAGCCAGAGTAGCCCTCTTAGGAGGGGGTTTGGGGGAGCCAGTGGCCTGATTATGTAGGGACTTACTGCCCATGGAAAGGGGTTTGCATTTTCCCTTAATGTCACTGGATGGCACTTAAGGTCTTTAAGTAGTAAAACTCTCCTGCATGATCACATAAGCTATAGCAGTTTGTAAAACAGATGTGCTTTGGTTTCTGCAAAGCTCATGGGAACATCACCTTGGCTATTAATACAGATAGAAAAGATGGCTTTCTTTGCAAGAGCACATTTCATCCTCAGGGTTTCTGAATGAGGCAAATACTACTCTTATAGGTAGAGGAACTGAAGTGCACTGAGGCTAAGTAACTTGTGCACGATTACACAGGTGGCAGGTAGCTCACCTGGGATCTTGAACTTGCCTTTAAGACAAGTTAGGCAACATGCCAGCCATCCCACAACTAGGTGATTGGGTTTGGAATTCAAGCCAGCATCTGAGGTGTGGTGAACTGATCCTTGTATTCCATTCATCCTACTGTCCTTTCTGCCCAGTGTAGACACCTGCAACCTCATACCAGCCTCAGAGGGTTAACTGGTCTTTTTGCTCCAATGTGAATTTTGTCCTCTTCAGACTATTGATGTATTCATGTTTGGATTTTATATATCTCTCTGCCTCCTCCCTCCAATAAAGACCTTAATACTCCGTTCTGTTGGGTACATTTCAGAAGAGCAGGGTTGGTTTTCAAGGCCCACCAGAGGCTGGCTTCGTATCGTATCTCCCAGCTCACTTCCACTGTTCCTGTGGCCAACATAGCTCTGCTTTGTGCAGTGAGCAGATCCTGTTCATGCTTCTGTGGTCAGCTTTGCTCACCCCATGCTCTTTTCCTGGGACTGTCCCTCCTCCAGGCTTGTTCCTCTGGAGGCCATTTCTTTTTGATTCCTTCTCCTAAATTTGAAGACTGTTTGTCACCAGTTGGTTCTTACATTGATCCTTTCTTTTATCCTGTCACCACAACCAGGTTGACATCCCTTCAAAGCAGCAATCACATCTTCTACTTCTCTGCATCTACAAAGAAGTAGATACATTTCCCCAAATATATCCAACTGATGAGCATCTATTGGGTACTGTCTTGAAAGAAAAGCTTTTAGGAGGAAGTAGAGGAGATAAGCCAAATTTATGTGAAAGACGTGCCACACAGCAGAGGTGTTACCATTGGCTTTTATTGTTGGTGTGTGTTTAAAGAAAACTGGACCTTTTCCTATTTTGTATATATTGGTAAGGATTCATTGGCCAGTCCCAAAGATTGCTCTTTTTTGGTTATTTAAAACACCACCAACAACCCCCCTCCCCCGCCTTGATTCTGCAAATTTAGTATCCTTTCCTCTACTTACATTTTTATAAGTGTAGTTGAGTTTGAGAGGGTGTTTTTTTTTTTTTCTTGCCACTTTTAACTCATCCAGATGGTTATGTGATTCACAGACTCAAATGTGTCCAGATCATGAAAATCCAAAGGCCCTGTGTTTGAGTTGGGTCCATATGTTTAGGCATTGTCACTACTTATGTGGGTCCACAGAACTTGTTAAAAATCTAACAGTGGAACTTGCATTCTCTACTTGATCCAATTTTGGATGTTCCCGGCCTTCCACCAGTGATGAGGGCAAGAAAGGGGGTAGGGGGATCACCTTGAGAATGATTGCATTTTCCTGAAAGCAGGAAGGGGAGAAGAGAGACGGTAAATACTTGAGCTAAGCCTTTGTCACCTTAAACAAAACAGCTTGTGTTGCATCGGCATTTCTGCAAGATCACCCTTAGCTGTTTAGAAAAGTTTATTTTAAAAAAAGAAATTTCTACTATGTTAGTCCAAAATGAACTTGGTCTAGTACTTCTCAAATATTAGTGGGGTGTAGAGTTCCTGAGAAACTTATTTTTAAAATGTAGATATTAGGGTCCCACTCACTGCCTTGAGATTCTGATATAGTGAGGCTCAGGTAATTTTCAGTTTTTTTTTTTTTCTTGTTGCCAAGGATTGGACCCAGACAGGCTTAACCACAGAGCCACATCCCCACCCCTCTCTATATTTTATTTAGAGACAGGGTCTTGCTGAGTTGCATAGGGCCTGGCTAAGTTGCTGAGGCTGGCTTTGAACTTGCATCCTTCTGCCTCAGCCTCCTGAGCCACTGGGATTACAGGCATGCACCACCACACCTGGCTGTAATTTGCATTTTTTATTTGCACCTGTTTATTCTCTGGTTCTTGGCACAACATGTGAAGAAACAGTGATTTAGATTATTTTATCATGAAAATACCAAATTTAGTATTTGAATCCTCACCCCTTAGACATCAGGCTATTGATACCCTTTTCACTGGGGTTTTTCCTCCAGGCCAGAGTCTGTGTTATTCATTGCAGTTTATATTTAACCACCTGAATCATCCATCCCTAAAAGCCCACTCCTATCCTTTTATTATCAAAAGCTTAGTGCAAAAAAAAAAAAAACTAGTGCATTTTATTTTACTTTTAACATTTTTATTTTTACTTGATGCATAGTAACCATATGTATTTATGGAGTAATTGACACATTTCAATACATGTATATACTGTGGAATGATCGGATCAGGGTAATTGGCATATATATGACTTTCTTGTATCAGAAACATTCAAAGTACTTTCTACTAGATATTTTTGAGATAAAACTGTTGTCAACCCTCATTATCCTACTGTGCTATAGAACATTATGCATTATTTCCCAATTTAACTGCAAAGAGCATTTTCCAGAATAAAACTTTTTCCTAACTAGAAATCTCCAGAGTTTAAAATATTTCTTTTATTAGAATATATGTCTTCCTACGACCAGTTTTTTTGCCTGTAGATGTGGCTTGGGGAACAACAGTGGTGGTGGCCCCTGGGCTTCTTGCTTTCACTTGAATTGCAAGAGCGTCAGCTGTGTCCTGATGGATTCGGAAAGCAGTACCAAGTACCAGCACTTCACACCCAGGAGTTCACTTGTTCATTCATTCAGTAGAGATTTTCACCAAATACGCTTCCTGGCACTGGGGCATCAGGTCAACAATAACAAATTATTTTCCTCCTAATTGAATTTGTATTCTAGTGGGGGCAGGGGAGAAAGAAAATAACTGTATATTATATGATATTGAAAGTGTTAATGGTAAACATAGAGTAGGGGACAAGCCTGAACATGCCGGGGTGCAGCACAGAAATTTGGTAGTGTAGTCGCAAGCAGGTGACATTTGAGAAAAGGTTCCAAAGGAAAGGGTGAGTGAGCCTTGGGGACATTTGGAGAGAGGATGATTCAGGGAGAAGAAACCTCTGGTGCAAAGGCCCTGAGATGGGCGGATGCCTGGGGCATTGAAGGATCAGCAAGGAGACAGCAGAGTAAAATATTGTGAGCAGAGAAGAGCGCTAGCAAAGGGGTCAGAGAAGAAACCTGCCATTGTAAGGATGTGTGCATCTTCCCCAAGCCAGTGGGAAGCCAGTGGAAAGTTCAGAGCAGAGGAATGGCACCGTCTGACTTAGATTCTTCAGAGGCCTGGAGAGTTTGGTGAAGTCAGAGGCACCCGCTAAGAGGCTACTGCAGTGGTCAGGGAGGAAATAGATGGCTCAGGTATGGGCAGGTCCAGTGGAGGGTGGTCTGCTCTGGGTATAATTGGAAGGCTGAGCCAGCAGAGTTCTGACAGTTTGTAGGGGGAAAGAAAAGAAAGACTAGGATTCAAAAATGATTTGGCCCCAATCATTGAAACTGAGTCCGTTCCCCCTCAAGGGAGATGGGGAAGATTGTGGATGGCCAGGCTTGGGGGAGAGGGTGAGGGGTTCCGTTTGGGACAAATGTTTAAGATTCCTGTTGATATCCAAGTGGAAGTGCTGTAGGCAGATGGGTGTGTGAGTCCTATGCTTAGGAGACCGTCACCCACCAGATGTTTTAGCATGTAGAATGGCAAGTGTGCATGTGTGTATAATTATGCACGTATGTAATTCTCTGCATGTATAGATATAGCTATAATTACATATACATAATTAGCAGCAAACGTGTGTGTAAGTTACAGAAGCTTCTTGACTTAACGATGGATAGGGTCATGAACCCATCCTAAATTGAAAATACCACAATTTTAAATTCTACAAGTTGAGAATGTCCTAAGTTGGAAACTAATTCAATACACCTAACCTACCGAACATGACGGCTGATCCTTGCCTACCGTAGAAGTGCAGGGAACACATGCATTAACTTACAACAGTTAAGCAAAACGTTTAATACAAAGCCTATTTTACAATAGTATGTTGAATGTGTTGTGGGCATTTTGTAGGCATGATGAGATGAAAAAATAGAAAACTGTATCCAAAATAGTGCTGACGACACAGTGCCACGTAGAGCATCGGATGTTCCCCTCTTGATCGAGGGGCTGATGGGGAGCTGTGGTGCAATGCCATTGCCCAGTGTCTCAGGGAAGCATCCCACTGCATATCACTAGCTGGGAAAAGATCAAAATTCAAAAAAGTGTCGTTTCTAGGGAATGCATAGCAGATCATCTTAAGTTGGGAACTAAATGTATTAGTGTACACACGGATTGCCCTGTAGTTATACCTCACGGTATAACTGCAGTTTTTCTTTCCAGACTATTGTAGGATGCCTAACCTTTGGTGTAGAGGGTCATTGTTATTGGGTCCTTCTCTGTTCCTACTATGGTGCTCCAGATCCCCATGATGATTGTTATCTTTAACCATCTTGGCTTGTTTTGCTCCTTTGGGCTTTAGATCTTGAATGGAATGACTGCCGCTCAAACTGGTCGTAACTTGATTATCCTGGGTCAGTTCTTTTCCAGGGGGCAAAGCCTCTGGGAATAGGTGGACCTCAGGGTGCCGACTTCCCATCATGTGGCAGGGCCTGGCACACTCGATCTGTCATGGCACAGTTCATTTGTGTGAGCAACTTGACAGATGTCCGTAGTGAGGCATCAAATTGGATGGTGTCTGCTAACAAATCTGATGGGAAAACAGAAAAGAGAATTCAAAGGATTATTATTATTATTTTTTTTTTAGGCTTAAATTTGCCATTGAGCTGTTTGAGCCTCTGTCATTAAGGCTGCTTTATTAGAAGTCTACACAATTCTTCACATGGGTGTCAAAATAATTTCAGTGAAAATGAGGTTGGGTGGACTCATCAAGCTGAAGTATTCGTCTTGTGATTACAGATGGGTTTTTGTTTCTGCTCTTCTACTTCCTTCCAAGCCTTTTGCTGGATGAGCTGGACTTAACAATCTGCATTAATTTACTTTGGCACTTCACACGGTCAGACGGGCCACGAACGCCATGGTCTCTAATACATTTCTAAAAAATCCTGCGGATGCTCCTTTTTAATTGATGTCCTTCATAAATTGTGTTTGCTGAAGCTATAATTACTCGTCAAGCAGAGAAAGCAAATCTACCTCCAAGTACAATGAAGATGTTCTTTTTATAAGATTATTAAGATACAGAAGTTTGGCATGCAGAGTAATTTAGTTCTGCTTTATAATGATATCTTCAGGGACTGTATCTTTGGGGATCACATCCATTAGAGCCTAGCAAAGTGGAAAAGGACCTATCACTACTGCGCTCCTCATAAATGTCAGATGCCCCCGCCTTGCAGTGACCATTGCCCCGTGTATGTGCTTGTTATAAAACACTTGGAACGGGCTGATTTTTTTTTTTTTTGATAATGTTTTTGTATGCCCTTCAGAGTAATTAACTGCTTCGCTGGACGTTCATTTAGCTTATTTGGAGTATTTTAATCTGACTCTTGAATTTGCTTGAAAGATTCCTACATGATTGAACCGGGGATCTTTGAAGGAACATCAGCAGAGGGTTATCACCTCAAAAATTTGGAAATAGCTCCAATTAAACAGATACAAGATGGATCACTTAGAAATTCTTATTTAACTGATTTACAAAATGCATAAGTTTTGCCTTGGTATTAAATGAGGATATTAGTTTGTTTTTGTTTTTTAAAGAGGGATTTAGGGAAAGTGAAAGAAGAAGATGGCAAGGTTTTCTAAAGGGTGAGGGTATTTGTGGGAGAAATAAAAGGAGGTGTCCCAAAGATCTTATTTTATTTTTTGTCTCCCACTTAAAAATGTCAGCTATATGCAAAGCTATATGCATCTTTTTCACTACTCTGTCTCCAGCGTCTAGCACAGTGCCTAGACACAGCTGTCATGTAAATAGGGGACTTCTCAGAACCCAGAGCCTCATGGGGCATTGTGACACATCAAGCATCCTTTTCCAAACTCGATGGACTATGGAACCCTTTTCTCAAGAAACATTAGAATGGGGTCTCTTCAAATACCCCCTCGGAATTCTAGCTTTGAGTAAAATAATAGCAATAAAATATTAAAACTGAATTGATCAAGAAGTGAAATGTTGACTTTTTTTGTGGAGACTGGAACACAAGGGATAGAGAGCATGAGGTCGGAGGGATGTCAGACTTCCATGTTCGAACCCATCATCTAGAGCAAGTTGCTTGACCTCGGGCAGCCTCTGTCTATCGATCTTTAAAGTAGGGATCATAATTATATTTACCTTGCTGGTTGTTAGGAAAATAGATTACATTTAGTCCCACTTTGGAAAATTAAATGAAATAATGTATGTAGAGGGCTTCCCTGGGCTAACTATTTATTCTTCTTTTCATTATTATTGTTGTTCTTGTTAAGAAGTAAGTGATAAATGACCCCAGTTAAAAGGGGGGTGATGAGGAGGCACTCAAGATTAAATGGAGTCAGCCTTCCTCCCGATTCTCAACAAATATGGGAGTGCTTCTCATATGCCAGGCATTGTTTATTCTGGGGGTGACAGTGTCGAACCCAGTTAAAGCCCCTCCCTGTGGACCTGGAGGGGTTTTGTAGCATAATGTGTTTATGGCTGTCACCGTCCCCTAGAACATAAAGTAAATTTAATTGTACATAATTCACTTAAAGTTAATTGTCCTGAGGTCATTATACTAGTGATCTGCCCCAAAGCAGCACTTTTTCTCTCAGAATCCGATCTGTTCTTAACACCAAATAAGTAAATCAGGATTCAGAGGTCATGTTTTGAAATGAAATAAATAAAATGAAGCTGGCGTTAAGAAATAAGCTCATCAAATGGAACACGCCCTTTTATTCCAATTAGTCTATCCACCACAGTGGGTGGTTAGGCAACACCCAGTTAAATTTGGATCTCAGATAAAGAATACTTATTTTTTTTAAGTATAAGTATATCCCAAGTAGTACATGGGATATACTTATCCTGGAGAGGGTGGGGGAGAAGCTGTATATTTGAAATTCCAATTTAACTGGCTGCCTTGTGTTTTACCTGCTCTGAACTAGGAGAGTGACCACTGTGGGCTGCAAGTCTTTAGGCCAGGAGGCATCTCACTCAAAACAGAGTAGAAGCCTTTACATCTCTTTGAAATGATTTAGAACTGTTCCCCCCTGATCACTGAGTGTTTCCAAATTAAAAGCCATTAATTAAGGCCTTCTGCAGATACAAGAGATAGGCAAGGAGTGCTTTGTAATGCCAGCTCAGTACTTCAGGTGAGAGCTTTTCAAATTACGTGGACCAGTAGAGCCACCTGCTTGGCTCAACGCTGTGGCCTGCGTGGGGCTCGTCAGCGCTCTGCGGTGCCAGGGTTGTTACTGATTTTTCTCATTTCTCCAGGGCAAATACTAATTAATGGATACAATTCACAGCTGATTAGCTGTAGTTTCTTCAGTAATTACATTCGCATACTAACTGTTCAGAAGAGGATTTCTAACCCAGTTCTTATTTCATTCTAAGCTTAATTTGTTTTTTGAATTGTTTAGGCCCTTAGTTTAATAGCCATTTTATTTTTCTTTGTTGTTTTAGGTGCTATTAGATAATAAGTGAGTTTAATCTTAAAAAAAAAACCTCTCTGATAATGAGCTGTTTGCCTTAAATGGATTTCTAATTCCCCAACAAAACCTACATTTAAATAACGTTAAAGTTGTGATACGGGCTGTCGGTGGTTATTTTTTTTGGGGGGGGGCAGGATTGGAACATGGAATATACCGGAGTCTCTTCTATATTCCCCCCCCCCAAAAAACTTGATTATAGGCCTGAGCTTTTAATTCTGGCATCATTCATACATCAAAAGCTTCATGACAGAAACCTTTACTGGTTTTTTTTTTTTTTGCATGTATTTGGCATAGTGGAATAATGAGGAAAATGTGTGTGTGTGTGTGTGTGTGTGTGTGTGTGTGTGTGTGTGTGTGTACACTCACATGCACTGGTGCACATGTGTTTGATTCAGAAAAGCCAGAGAAAGGTCCTCCTTAAGGGCTAGCTAATACATTTTTGAGAAATCCTTATAAAGACATTTACTCAAGTGAATCCAAGTGTTGGAGGAGAACCATCCCGATGGTTACTTGTGTGTGTGTGTGTGTGTGTGTGTGTTGAGGTGTCATTCTACAGGGGAGAATTTGCTGCTCTGGATGGTAACAGCACTTTGGAACCATTAGTCTTTCCTATAAATCCTGTTTAGTTCTTGGATCCCTGACATGATCAGGTGTAGCATGTCAATCCCCTATCTGTAGGTTCAGAGTCAGGCTGAGAGCACCCCCCCCCCCATAAGTGTTTATCAGTCTATGGAGAGGAGGATTATGTGGGTCTTCCATATCCATATATTGGCATCTGTGTTCTGTTTATTCTCTATATCTTTATATCTGTGTATCTGTATATCTGTCAATGTACCTACCTATTTCTCTATCCACCTATCCATTTTTTCCATCCTTCTATCTCTTGGGGGTAAATTGCACCTTTTACTTTAAATTATTAACTTTATTTAGATGAAAGAATAGCTATATACATTTCACCCTTTGGACACCAAACCTTTGTTTTATTTGATGCATTACATAATTTGATGCATTAAATAATTAAATAATTTGATGCATAAATAATGTGCTTTATAAATAGTCCATTCTTATACCATTTAAAAATCATGAAAATAATACAGCTCTAGATAATTATGCCTTTCCATATTGCCAGACTGATAACAGAATGTTTAAGGCAACAAAATGTGCCTATTTATACCATTTGAACCCAAAAATACATTTCTGCCCAAAACCAAAATCAAAATACATTTTGATAACAGGTCCCTAGAAGTAAAGAGCTTAAGTCTGAAATGCTGATACAGTCTTATTTGTGATGATATGAATGGGCTATTGTGTTAGGGAATGAAATAAAAAATTGCTGTGTTCATAGGATCCTGCTTATTTTTTAAACCTCTTTGCATTTAATGTTACATTGAGAGATTAAATATCACTGTTTTCAGCAGCTCTGATGGATATAGATATGGCTTCTTTAAATTCTGGCGATTTAAATTTTTTTTTTTCTTTAGTCTTATTTATTTCTATTCGTGCCACACCTCATTCACTTAGAAAATAGAATTTGAGTCCTGGGAATTGAATTTTATTCCCTTTAATTCACATTTTAACCTACCCACACTTGTGACATCTGTTCTTGAAAAGTAAGCTCTAAAATCCCAACATGCTTTAAAACGTGTCAAGGTGATTCTCTTGGAAACTCTTCTCCTACCCTCTGACAAGTGCCAGTTCGATAAACAACACGGTGGTGATAGGTTGGCCTGGTGTTTGTAATTGTCTCCCTTCACCATTAGTCTTGATGAGAAACAAAACTATTTCCTAGAATTATTGAGTTAGCTTAACTCCAGGCTTTATTTTCCAAGGGAACTAGCTGTCAGCGGGGCTGCGCTTTGACATCTTTCCTGTTTTGAATTTGATCTCAGTGAGACCCCCATCCCTGACCCCATTCTCCTTACACGGACATTCTTTCTCAATGGCACCTGAGCTGTCCTAACCAGGATTCTTATTAAGCCCCACATTAACATAAAACCATCTCTTTGTTTTTCTTTCAGTTTGGAAATAATAATAACTACATGAGCATGGCAGAAGCCAACAACACATTCTTTGCTGCCAGCGAGGTAGGTGTCT